TCTTAATCATATAATTATATATTACACAACATATAATGAATTTCTTTTGACATTTATATATAAGCATAGAATGTACTTTGATCATATCTTGTCCCCTAACACCCTCTATGATCCCTCTTCCTGCTCCTACTGGTCCCTCCCCCTCCACCCAATAGTCCACTTTTTATATCTTTTTAAAAAATCTAAATTCTGCATATGAGAGATGATGTATTTGTCTTTCTGAGTCTAGCTTATGTCACTTAACAGGATGATCTCCAGTTCCATTCATTTTTGTGCAAATAGCATCTCTCCGTTCTTCTTTATGGGTGAATCACAAGGCCAGTTCTTGCTTCACAGGCCTTGTACTGCCCACGAGTGTTCTAGGAGTGGGCTTGAAGGGGAGGAGTGCTTGAGGGGTCTTGTTTTCTTCTGCCTTGCTTGGCCGTCCCTCACTGAGCCCCTTCTGTTCGTGAGCTGTGGATAGTCTTGGATGGAGGCAGGAGAATTGCCTGAGATGTGAGTGCACTTCCTGTGACACATGAATGGGCTCCTCTAGGTCAGCTCTGATTGGGGGCATGGAGAGATGGGATGTATGAGTGACAAATCACTACAGATGTAAACATATAGCTGCCTATAACACAAAACCATTTCTGGCAGACACCCTCCCCCCATCCTGTCTTCCATCCTCAGATCTCCCTGCCTCAATGTCTTGTTATTCTATCAGCCTAGCAGGGTTTCAACATCAGTGTGTCTGTATCACCATGACTCTGCGACCAATCTCAGGTAGACTGTGGCTTTTAGGGTGAGGCCAAGCTTTAGTGAATCCATGGCAGATGGCTTGGTGAGGACCAGCCTCCTCTCTGGCAGCCTGGATCATCTTGCCTTTCCTCAGTTTCCTCCTTGGAACTGGAGAGCACCTGGCCTCCCTTTTTCCGGCAGGCTCTGTGGTGAACCTGTGAGGCCCACGTTTCACAGGCTGCAATCTCTTACCTTCTTGAGGCTTCCTGGAGGGTTGGGTGGCACCCTGCCGTGTTCTGTGTCCCTCCACTGCCTCCTTGTTCCCTAAGACTGGGTTGAACCCCTTTCACCCAAGGTGCCCAACCAAGTCATCCTTGCTTTGCTCTTCCTAGTGTCTGCCAGGACCGGAAGTGGAACTGCACAAACCACGTGTGTGATGCCACGTGCTCTGCCATTGGCATGGCGCACTACCTCACCTTTGACGGACTCAAATACGTGTTCCCTGGAGAGTGCCAATATGTCCTAGCGCAGGTGAGAATAAGGGCGAGAAGAGGTGGTACCATCTGTCTCTAATGGGGTGGCGAGGTGCTGGCCTCAGTCTGGAAGTTTACAGGTCAGAGTCTCTCTGCAGAAAGAACTTCAGGGTTTGGTTTTGTCAGAATATTTTTTTTTTAATTTTTACATTTATTTTTGTTTTATTTATATGACTTTTGCCTGCATGTATGTAAGTGCATCTACATCATGTAATGCCCACAGAGGCCAGAAGAGGGCATCAGGTTCTCTGGAACTGGAGTTACAGGGAGTGTTAGCCGCTATGTGGGTGCTGGAAAGGGAACCCGGGTCCTCTGCAAGAGCAGCCAGTTCTCTTAACCGTGGATCCATCTTTCCAGGCCCCAGAATAATTTTCTAATTTCCGAAAAGAAAGTCTGAAGTGTAGGAGGTTTAAAATTCAAAGTGATTGCCTATTTTCCTCTGCTCATCTGGAGACTTTTAGGAACAGAACAGAAGCCCATTTGCTATGTCTGGGGTGAGGCCACCCTCAGGTCAAATCAGCATTGATATGGATTAGAAAAAGACACCTTTTCCTTCTGGCGAACAGGACCTAAACCTGAAGGACCCTGGCTAGATTTCTGCCTGTCATTCTCCCTGCTAGTATTGGCAGGGTTGGGAGCAGCCTTATGAAGCAGCTCTGAACGGGGGTGGGGGGTGTGTGATCAACCTGATTCTTGGAGTTTGCTGCTAGACCTATGGACCTGTAGAACTTGCCACCATTTTCGCTTCTAGCCTGGTCCAGTTTCTCATGGGGAGGGGAGGCTGGGGGTCACAGGATCCATTCTGCCCAGCAGGAGGAGGAAAAGCATGGCACATCCTAGCTAGTGACTTAGGCAGTCCCTACTCTGTGGGTTCCTGGGAATTTCTCTTGCTGGTTGATGCCAGGTGGATCAGCAAGGGGGATGAGAGCTTTGTTCAGAGGTGAGATGCTGTACCCAGGGGCACGTTAGTTCAAGTATGGCCTCTCTGTCTCCATTCTCTGGGTAAGGAGGAAATTTGATGTGCTCTGAAGGCAAGACCGCAAAGCGTAGAGATAGAGCAGCAAGACCTCATGCGTCAGGCATTATTGGTGACCTAGGGTCACTGTGGAGAGCATGCTGGGAGGGGTAAGGCCTATGGGGCACTGGCTGGCCTGGCCTTACACACCCCAGCTGGCCCAGGGAGACAGAGCAGGCACATCTCAAAATTGCTTTTCTGACGCCTTTGGACCTGGATGTGCCCCTATCCCTTAGAACTTCCCCACAGGCCCCCAGCTTCAGCACCCAAAGACTGCTTCGAGGTTCACCTTGCTCATCAGCACCCGCAGATCCCACGGTGGACTCAGTGTGTGGACAGCAACCTGATGGCATCTCCCACTCCCTAACGTGTCTGGTCCCTGGATGGCAGACCTTCCGGAGTGTCCCAGGAATCCCCTTTCATATGCGTGCTGCTTGTTTCCCTGCGCACCCCCAGGCCTGTGGTCCTCTTCTGATGCTTTGTCCAGGGCCCCTCCCAGGGCTTCCTCCCCATGGGAGCATCATCGGGCTTGGCTTTCTCCTCCAAGAAAACCAGCTGGTGACAGGAAAGTGAGACACCTACATCTTGTTCTGTTTCTGACCTTCATGACTCAGGAACTAGCTCAAACTGGGTTAACACAACGGTGCCAGGAAGTGGGCTGATCCTCACCTTACAGACAGCTGTGCTGTGTTTTTGTATGTGTATGCGAGCATATGTATACATATGTATGTGTATATATATATGTATGGGCACACAGGAACATGTACATGTTTTATATATGTGTTTATATGTGCATGTGTATTTATGTTTACATATGCATATATATGGGAATATGTATTTGAATGTGGAGGTGTATATGCATGTATTTATGTTTGTATATGTATGTGTGTGCATATATATGTATGTGAAGGTACATGTTTATACATGTATTTGTGTGTATACAGGTGTATGTGAGTGTGAGAATGTATATATATATATATATATGTAGGTATAAGTATGTATGTTTACCTATAAATGTATGTTGTATGGGAATGTGTATATATATACATGTGTAGGTATATGTGCTTGTGTGTATGTCTATGCAGGGATATGTATGGCTGTGTGCATGTGTATGTATAAGTACATGTGTGGCGCAGAGGGGTAAGTAGTTTACTCGATGCTACCCAGTAAATAGCAAACCAAGACTTGCTCTGGTTTTTCCAAACTAAGTATTTTTATAGCATTTTTACATAAGATGTAACCATAGGGTAACTCTTTGGCATCTGTCCTCTTTGGCTTAATTTGGAGGCCAGTTGATCAACGAGGACCATTGTCCATTTTCCCACCATATCCAGCTAGAGATGACAGCTCAGGTGCTGTAGAGATAAGTCAAACCGTCTTTGGTTACACTTTGGGACCAACAGATCAGAGAGGTGCAATCAGACATTAGAGCCACAAGACGGTCTGTGGTAGGACTGCCCTGGTTGCCTGCATGGGATCAAAAAATAATGGGAGGCCGAGCATGGTGGTGCATGCCTTTAATCCCAGAATTTGGGAGGCAGAGGCCTGGTCTACATAGTGAGTCCCAGGCCATCTGGGGCTATAGGGAGACACTATCTCAACAACAAGGACAACAACCACCACTACCACCACCAAATCATCTGGAGACATGGCTCAGGGCTTAAGAGTACTGGCCGCTCTTACAGAGGACCTGGGTTCGGTTCCCAGCACCCACACAGTGGCTAACAACCATCTATAACTTCAGTTCCAGGAGAATTCGATGCTCTCTTCTGATCTCCCTGGGCATTGCACAAAATTGGTGCATTTATATACATGTAGGCAATACACTCATACACATTTAAAAAAAAAGATGGTGAGATCTAGGTGAAAGCCTTGAGCCGGATAGTCCGTGAAAGCACAGCGCAGGCTGTTCTCCTCTCACTCTCCCCCTCCTCCACCTTGTGCTCATTACCATACCAACGCGCTGATCACAGGCTCCATGTTCATCTCTGATGCCTGAGGTTGGACACCTGAGAGAGCCTCTGAAAACATAATATATATGGCAACATTCTGTGACATGTATTCAGAGACCCCAGAGGACATGATGCCGTCTTGTCTTCTGGTCTGGAGAGGAAGAAGTAATAACCTTTCCTTCCTGGAACCTTCTTTCCCCAGGATTACTGTGGCAGTAACCCTGGGACCTTTCGGATCCTGGTAGGAAATGAGGGGTGCAGCTATCCCTCAGTGAAATGCAAGAAGCGGATCACCATCCTGGTGGAAGGAGGAGAGATTGAACTGTTTGATGGGGAGGTGAGTGCCAGCCTTGTCCCTTCACCCTCACGTCTCCCTTTGTTCCCCTGTTGATTGGGAGTGTTCGTCACGTATTCATTTGGAACTGTGCTGGGAGAACGTGTGGTTACTGTGAAGAATGAGGTCGAGTGGTATCAGCTGGCTCTGAGGTGTTATCCTACGGACAGAGCGAGCCGCAGACTGATTTGGATAGTGTGGTCCCATCATGTGTGTGGAAGAGTATGTCCGATATGTACGTGTTAGTATGGGAAGAGGCAGTGCTTACTGGCAGCTCAGGAACTGTAGACCTGAGTCAAGCCGTTTTTGGAGTCGTAGGTGAACGGACCATGGCAGGCAGGAGGGTTTTCCCTTCTATAGATGGTTGTTCCTCTCAGCCACAGTAGGCCAAAATCCTTAGTACCCAAACCAGCACGTCCTATTATACATATCTATGATAACACTGAACTATTAGATGGAGTAAGACATGTTTTTTAGTTTCTATCCTGTTCTTTGAAGATTTTTCTTTGGTGTGGTGCTGGGGATGGAACCCAGAGCCTTGTGCATGCTAGGCAAGCACTCTCCTGTTCAGCTACGTCCTCAGCGCTTCAGATAAATATTTTTAGCATGCTGCAAAGAGAAGTAATAATAAAAATAAGTAATAATAAAATGGGAAAATTATAACAATGTTGTAATGAAAGTTATTTGAAACTTATTCACTGTTTCTGGAATTGTCCACTTGATATATTTTAAAAAGATTTATTTATCTTATGTGTGTGTTTGAGTTTGTGTAAGTACAACATGTGCACGTTGGCCTGAGGAGGCCAAAAGAGGGTGTTGGATTCCCTGGAACTGGAGTTGCAGGCAGTTGTTAGCCACTATGTGGGTTCTGGGAACTGAACCCAGGTCTTCTGCAAAGCAGCCAGTGCTCTTAACTGCTGAGCCATCTCTCCAGCTCCTCTGTTCAATGTCTTTTTTATTGTAGTCAACTGAAGCTGCAGAATGCCGAACTACAGACTCTCGGGGACTGCTGCATCTGTACATAGTGAAGTGACATGGAATGTTTTTTAGTTTCTATCCTGTTCTTTGAAGATTTTTCTTTGGTGTGGTGCTGGGGATGGAACCCAGAGCCTTGTGCATGCTAGGCAAGCCCCCTACTCTTGAGCTACAGTCTTAGCTCTTCAGATAAACATTTTTAACGTGCTGGAAAGAGAAATAAACAGTTCTGCCCTTCCTTGTGTGCTGACAACTTGCATGGTTTTCTCCCCAGAGGTCTGAAATGCAGATCCTAGGGCTCTGATGTTCTGCCTCAGTAGGCTGGGGTGGGGCCCAGGACTCTGCATTCAGAGGGCCTGGTTGCTTCTGGGTCACATGTTTGATCCAGCTAGCGTGAGCACATGTTGTGCTAGACACTCCCAAGATCTAGGTTCTAGCCTGTTCCAGTAACGTGGTTTTCCCTTGGGGCCTCTGCCTGCATCCTGCATCCTTATAAATACCTATTCTTGACGACTGGGGTTGGGAAGGGAATATTCATACTCAGAGGAGAAAACTGTTTAGCAAGTATGCCGACTCTGGCCCAGCAGTGTCAACTCCCATTTCAGAGTCTAGTTCTATCCAGGACAGATGACAGTGGTGAGGTTGAGTTGGATGTGGACGGGCATGTGAGGGGGAGAATTTGCACACATGATGAGTCCTGCATGCGGCATGTCGCTGAGGAGAGAACCTCTTCAAAGAGTGACGGGGGGTTAGCGTCAACCTTAGCTTCACAGGTCTGAGCATCAGCCAAGTGCACTGCAATGGGCTTCTAGGGTTTGCCAGTGGTAGGACTCTGTCAGGCCAGACTTCTGGAAGCTCCTGCCTGGAGCATAGAGCCCTGCAGTCCCAGTTCTTCGGCCCTGACCCTGGGTGACAGGCACCCTGGAGAGTGGGAGGTGGTAGGGTGCTGAAAGGTGAGTCTGGGGCTCTGTATTGAAAAGGTGATCAAAATCACTGCTGTGCTCAAAGTCTAAGCGAGGGACCACTGGTGTTGAGGACCAAGGGTCAGAAACCTTCACTTTCTGTGAAGTGATGGATGATGCACTGGCTGGTTTCATTGTGTTCTTTCTACTATCTCATTATCATTGGAAGGTGGTCAGTGAGGTGAGATGAGAGCTGGTGGGAGTAGCTCTTGTCACATGCAGGTCTGGAGGGGCAGGGCTGGTGCTGGAGGGCAGCGTGGACAGACAGGTGGAGTAAAGAGGGGCGATCTGGACTCAGCCTCCCTGTACCCTGTTTTGCTGCTTCATCCTCCTTCAGGTGAATGTGAAGAGACCCCTGAAGGATGAGTCACACTTTGAGGTGGTAGAGTCTGGCCGTTACATCCTTCTGCTGCTGGGTCAAGCGCTCTCTGTGGTCTGGGACCGCCACCTCAGTGTCTCCGTGGTCCTCAAGCAGACGTACCAGGTCAGTGGTCCTTCTTGCTTCATGTTGGGTATGACTTCTTGTGTGGACCTTTGTCAGCTCTCTGAGTAGCAACCTGCTGCCCTTCCTCTTTATCTTGGAGGAAGGTGGTCCTCTGGTCCAGCCTCATTTCTTCCTATATAAGGAAAGTCATGTGCAGGCTGTCTGCACACAGGGAGAACTGAGGTGGTGCTGACACTGCCTTGACTGACCTAATAAGGCATGCAGTTAGTTTGCACAAAGGAAGGAAGTACAAGATTAGGCAGGATAGCTTTTCTTTAGGCTTCTGAACCTGAAGAGGCAAATTAATCATACATAATGTTAGAGCATTACCATCTATTCTGGGATGTTGCCTTACCAGTGAGCCACAGGCCAGCATGATTGTGTGTGTGTGTGTGTGTGTGTGTGTGTGTGTGTGTGCATGTGGAGGCCAGTAGTCAATCTCAGGTATCATTTCTCATGATTTGTCCACCTTGATTTTTGAGACAAGGTCTTTCACTGGGACCTGGAGTTCCACCAATTAGGCTAGATTGGCTGACTAGCTAGTGAGCTCTATGAACTTACTTGTCTCTGCCTCCCTAGTGCTGGGATTACACGTGCACATCACCATGCCTGGCTTTTTTATGGTGTGCCGGGGATTAAACTCAGGTCCTCATGTTTGTGTGGAAAACACTTTACTACCTATTTTGCCAGTCCTCAGACCAGCACTTAAACTTTTTATTTATTTATTTATTAAAAATATTTTATTTATTATTTTTATTTTGTGTTTATGAGTGTATTGCCTGCATCTGTGTAAGTGCACCCATGTCATGCAGTGCCCTTGGAGGACAGAGAGGTCATCTGATCCCCTGGAACTGGAGTTAAGGACAATGGTTTCCTGCCATGTGGGTGTTGGGATTTGAACCCAGGTCTTCTGTAAGAACAGCTAAGTGTTCTTAACTGCTGAGCCATCTCTCCAGCCCCCAAACTTTTTATTTATTTTTTAATTTTATGTGTGTGTGTCTTTTGCCTGTATGTATGTTAGTGTACATGTGCATACAAAGACTATGTAGGTCAAAGAGGGTGTCAGACCCTCTGGAGCTGGAGTTATGGATGGTTGTTAGCCATCATGTGGGTGCTGAGAACTGGACCTGGGTCCTTGGCAAGAGTAACCAGCCAGTGCCCTTAACTTCTGAGTCATCTCTCCAGCCCCAACAGCACTGAAATTTTTTTAAAATTTATTTTTATTTTGTGTGTACAAATGTTTTGCCTGCATGTATGTAAGTACACCACATGTGTGTAGTGCCTTCAGAGGCCAGAAGAGGGCATCAGATCTCCTATAACTGGAGTTACAGATGGTTGTTAGCTAGTATGTGGGTGCTAGGAACTGAACCTGGGTCCTCTGGAAGAGCAGAAAGTGTTCTTAATTGCTGAGCCATCTCTCTAGCTCCCCTGACCCCCAGTAGCACTTTTTATTAAAAAGACATTTTATTCTTAATCATGTGTCTATGTATGTGTGTGTGTTTGTGTGTGTATGCGAATGTGCCTATGTGTGTATGTGTGTGTGTGTGTGTGTGTGTGTGTGTGTGTGAGAGAGAGAGAGAGAG